TTATAAAATATTTAAGTCTATATGACTATAGATAATACTATGCTAACAAGTTGAATATATGAATTAAGTAAATTATTTTATAGGTACATATAAAACTCTAAAATAACTCAAATAATTAAAATACATAAAAACAAATAAAAATGTAAGTAATTTCTAAAGTTTTCTGAGAATTACGTTTCCCTAACAAGCTAAACTTAGGTCATTTCATAGTCAAGTTCATTGGAATTTACAAGGAACAGATTTTTTTCCTATGCTTTACAAATTGTTTTATGGGGAGGAAAAGACAAAATAATTTAGAATTAATATTATTTAGCTATCATCCTCATGATGTCACAACCAGATAAAGGGAGAAACTTATAGAGATTAACATCAAAAATTAATTAATGGTATTTTTCTCTTAATTTATCACAGTAAAGTAAGTTTTATTCTAGGAATGCAAAGATCACTAACTATATTTTTTATATCTTATCATTGCAATAAGATAGGTCATGAGAGAAAAAGTATTTGACTATTGTAAAAAAAAAGGTTTTGATAAATATTAACCTGTACTATCAATTTTTAAAAAAACTAGTTAGTTAGAAATAAAACCTTTCCTTAGCATTCATATTGTCTTCCAATCCAATAACCAAGAGTGGACTCAGTGGAGAAACTAGAACAGTGAACAGCACAAGACTAACTGCAGCCACTCCCCACAGTCTGTATTGTTCTGGAAATTCAAACTCTCAAAATTATTTGATGAAAAAACTCTTTTCAGTTAAAAAAAAATCTTAATATAAAATGGAACAAGGTTGAGGAAATGTTTTAGCCAACCTGATAAGATAAAAATTAAAAAGGAGCTTTTCTAGTTATTGGAACTAAGTAGAGTTATCTATGGATGAGAGCCATTTGCTGGCACAATCCAAGAGAATCAACTGAAAAGTGATTAGAACAAATGGAGTTATATAAGCAGGAGTTGGTTATAAAACATATACAAAAATCAACAACTTTCTCACATATCAGCAAAAATTAATTAGACAATATAATGGGATAGAAAGATCTCATGAAAAAGTCACTATGTAAAAATTTGCTCAATTCCTAAAACAAAAGAAAACAAAACCTCTGAAGTTTCCTGCAATCCATGACTGTCAATATGAATAAAGTAGAGATGGATGATGCACCAGAGTGGTAAAATTCAATGTTGTAATTACTGCAGTTCTATTCAAATTAACTTGTGAGTTTAATGCAAATCCAATAAAAATTTCAATGGAATTTGAGGCAATTTGAAAAAACCTTTCTACATTTCATCTGGGAGAATAATCATGAGATTATAAACAAGAGGCTTTTGAACAATATGGATAATAATTTGTGTGTTTGCTGGGGCGACCAGACCTGACATGATTAGCTATTAAAGTATTTCAAACTCCCCTGTACTGCTTCTGGTGAGAGGTGAACTGAAGGGCTTTTTGAAACAATCGAATTCTGAAGCATTTCCTAAAAGTATTAGATCTTAAAGATGTATGTTTATTCTGAGGAAATAATGAGGGATCACACAAGATGTATGTACAAGGTGGTTTATTTTTAAAATGATAGTAAATGGAAAGTTTGAAACCATTTGGTCAGCAATAGAGGATTTAAAGATGACATTTGGAATATTGTACAGCAATTAATGCCATGTTTTAATGACATGGGAATATGCTCACCTATATTAAAATGAAAAAATAAAATAAAAATTCTGGGGGAGTTTGGAAATCTACCTCTTCTTACTGAACTTGTATAAATTACTTCATCTCTAAGCTTCATTTGTATGTCTGAGAGTAATGTTATTTCCTCATGACATCACTTCTAGGATTATGTGAGAGAAAGTATGTGTAGAATTTCTCCTAATGCCTGGCACATGGTAGCTCTATAGATATGAACTGAAGTGATGATAAAGTATAATCTATGTGTATAAATTAAGACATGAAGGAAATATGATGGCATGTTAAAGAGCTTATCTCTTGTAGAGAGTTTTAATGAGTGATTACTGTTTTCTTTTTATAGTTTCTATACTTTATACATAATTTTCCATGCTGAATGATTTTTATAAGAAAAAATTTTCTTTAAAGAAGAAAGTTAATAGAAGATATTTCTGAGTGCTATATATAGAGCTATGTGATTCAATGATTGTTGTAGCTGGAACTCTACTTTCCTTTATATTGTAACTAGAGGCCTGACGCACGAAATTCATGCAAGGGGCTTGGCCCTTGCAGCCCCGGCTTTGTCTGGAAGGTCGTCCAGATTGTCATCCAGAAGATTGTTTGGCCGTCCGGTCTAATTAGCATATTAGCTTTTATTATTATAGATGACAGAACTAACAATAATAAAAGGCACGTATCCTTTATAATAAAAGGCTAATATGCAAATCAACCGAATGGCAGAATGATCAGTTGCTATGATGGGCACGGATCACCAGGGGGCAGACTCTCAACATAGGAGCTGTCCCCTAGTCCTGGGGGAGTGGGCCTAAGCCGGCAGGAGGACATCCCCTGATGGGTCCTGGACTGTGAGAAGGTGCAGGCCAGGCTGAGGGATCCCTCTCTCTGCTAGGGCATGAATGTTGTGTACTGGGCCTCTAGTATATTACAAATGCTAATTTTGACTCCTCTACTTTACCCATTAGTATTTATTTCCTTTGATTTGGTAGATCTTCTCAATTTTGGGGGGTAGTTTCTAATTTTTCTCAGAGCTAAGGATGCCTTTGTCCTTCTGGGTGAAGGCATTACTGTGGGGAGCAGCAGAACCTAGACTTCTCTAAACTGTCTCCTCTCCCCTCAAAACTCTATTAAAAAAAAATTTAAAGGAGGGGTTCTTTAACTCCCTGTCTCCACTTTCCTTTTCTCCTTGTTGAGGTGAGAGGACATCCTCTCCTGGGAGAAGTGTGTCCTTTCTGGGTGATGACACTTTAATGCTTACATAAAGCATCAAGCTGAACCATATCAGAACACGCCTCACTGGGATTCAGACATAATTGTAAAATGACCCTGTCCTGGTCTTCAATTATTGCACCACAGCCTTGCTGTGGAGCATGCCTTTTACTTAGCCTCATCTGGTTTTTCAAGCATCCAGCCCTGTACATTTAACCTTTGGGTACATGGGAACACAGAAGCGATTTCTGTAACTTCTAGCAGGAAACGGTAACCCCTTTACTTCTTGCTGTCAGCTGGGGCCCCAGCACTGACTCTTGGTACCCACCTGCAGCTCCCCTGCACAGTAGCCTTTCCTCTGGTGAGGGCAGCCCTTGTGGGGCACACATAGGCAGCAGCAACATTTTCAGTGTTGTCCTCATTTACCATATACTACTGGCCAATGTTTACAGGAAGTTCTGTGTTTGGCATCTCCAGGATGATATTCTGTTTATCAGATTAAGTACTCTCTTTGAGTGGCACCTTTTCTGAAGGTAGGGAGTTGTGTAGAGCAGTAAGAAGGCTCTTTTTCTTCTGGAAGTCTTCAGGGGCACACTTAAAATATCAAACAACACCCAGAAACACTGCTCCTTGTTTCTCTTGTTTACTTCCTTCATATTCCTATGTCACGTTGCTTGAAATTGTGTTCAGCAATGCATTTCTTTCTGTCTTGTATTGTGGTTATTTCTGGGTCCGTCTCCCGCTGTGATTTCCTTCAGGGTGGAGTTGTGTCTATTTGCATCTGTACCTTTAGCATGAAGCTAGGTGTCTGAAAAATGACTGGTGCTTAACAAGTGTGCGTAGAATGGGAAAGGACTTGACAGTGTCTCGGATGCTGTGTGTCATGTCTCTCCTGCTCAGAGCATTTTGATTTCCTTAATGTCCAAAGCTCAGTCCTTGGAACAGAAACAACTTACTTTGTATCTGTCCAACCAGGTAGTGCAGTTCTGTATGAGAATCCAGTAAATTGAACCAGAAATATGCTCATAAGGCATGTGAATGCCTCTGTAGTGGCAATTCAGCAGAACAAATCCATTAGTTGAAATTATCCTTCATGGTACCAAACGAAAGCCAGCCTGTCCCTATAAATGCTTTGCTAGTTGTAGACGAATAATCCGAGTGCAGCCAATCCACAGCTTCTCCTTCTGCCGTCTGGGGCAATGTTCTTGCATGATGAGGACTCATCAGTTCCCCGTCCCCATTTCTCTGCTGCCCTGGTGTTTTCCTCGCCCCGCCCTTTGCCTCTGTCAGAGGGTACTGCATGCTTGCTTCTCTCTCCCATCCTCTTTTTCCACCCTGACAGTTCTTAGCATCATAATGCAGTGCTTTGCTCTTTTACATCTTCAAGTATTAAAAACAATCCTATTAGGATTTTTAAACAAAGGAAACCATAAAGAAACAGAAATGGTGTCCCACACAGATAAACCTCTGTTGATGGTATGAGGAAGTACTATATTCATGTGGTTTCAAGAGATAAAATGATATATGATGTTTAAACTTCCCACCCTGCCCATATACCCTCCATGTTTCTCTCCCCAGTGGTAATTCCAGTTAATATGTTAGGTGTGTTTTCGCATAAAAATGTTTAAATGTTATACACACCAACATTAAACTTGAAATGGATTTATGTGTATCTTTTCTGTTTACATCAAGCAATCCCAAGAAAGCTACTCTGAATCTGTTATCATTTAATATATTGTAAGAGATGTCTCTATTGTGGCCTCCCCTCTCCCCATCTACCTTATTTTTATAACTGTTGCATAGGATCCCAGTGCGTGGATGGTCTAAGTTTTATTGTGCCAGTTCCTTATTAATGGGCATTATGACTTGTTCTTGAATTTTTACTATTTCAATAGTACAACTGTGATGGTCTTTATACAGACATCTTTGAATACTTCTTCAAAGGATGGGTACATTTTACATGTTGATGTTATTGCTATATTGTCCTCCAAAAACTAAATTAGTTTTTACTACCTTAGACACTCCCCAAAGTGCTTGAATGTACCTGATTATCAGAGAGGAAGGGCGAGGGAGAGAGAGATAGAAACATCAGTGGTAAGAGAAAATCATTGAGCCCTAGCCGATTTGGCTCAATGGATAGAGCATCAGCCTGCAGACTGAAAGGCCCCAGGTTCAATTCTGGTCAAGGGCATATGCCAGGGTTGTGGGCTCTATCCCCAGTAGGGGGTTGCAGGAGGCAGCCAATCAATGATTCTCTCTCATCATTGATGTTTCTATCTCTCTCTCCCTCTTCCTTCCTCTCTGAAATCAATAAAAATGTATTTTTAAAAAAAGAAAAAGAGAGAGAGAATCATTGATTAGCTGCCTCCTGCATGTCTCCTACTGGGGATTGAGCCAGCAACTGGGACATGTGCACTAACCTCTTGGTTCATAGGTTGATGATCAACCACTGAGACATACTGGCCAAGCTGAACTGCTTCTTTAAAAATGTTTTTAAATTGATTTTAGAGGGGGGAGGGGAGAGGAGAAAGGAGAGAGAGGAGAGAGAGAGAAAGGGTTACCTCTGGTACACACCTCCAACCAAGGGACAACCTGAAACCTAGGTATGTGCCCTGACCAGGAATTGAACCTGTGACCTTCTGGTGGCTGGGACATGCTCTAACCAATTGAGCCACACCATCCAGGGCTGTGAACTGCTTCTTCCTATCCTTTGTCCCTTATTGATTTATATGGGGTCTTTAGCCACCTCCTTAGACCTTTCTTATGCCTCTATCTAAAATAGTAACTGAGCCACTGAGCCTCACGTGGCTGGGTTGGTTGGAGCATCTTCTGGTACAGAGAAAAGGTTGTGGGCCTAATTCCCAGTCAGGGCACATACCTAGGTTGCTAGTTCGATCTCCGGTGGGGTGTGTGCAACCGATAGATGTTTTTCTCTCACATCGATGTTTCCCTCTCTCACCCCCTACCTCAAGTCAATAAACATCCTCTAGTGAGGATAAGAAAGAAAGGCATAAGCCAATAAGAACAAACAGTCCAGGAGACTGCCATAAAGAAAAGATATCAGCAATTTTGGAAGCTGAAAAGGAGAGAAGGAAAAGTCAGAACTCATTTGCAAGAAGTAATCCTAAGGCAAGTCAGGAAGTATAGGCACTGGTACCTCTGAAGGCTGCATTGGAAAGAGGAGGGTGAATTGGAAGTCTAAAAGGGGATCTCCTCCCCACCACATAGAAAGTTAAAAAAAGGAGAGTTGTAAGGATGAGGACTGAGTATGGTGGTGTACTGGGAGGGAAAGTCGGGGTTAGGATGGAGGTGGTAATAGAGCCATAAATATTCCTCCGTAGTCGGAAGTCAAAATATAATACAACTGGAAAATAAGGAATAGAAGAATATGCATGCGGTTAAGGAGATAATTGAATATGAAACCATCCACAGTACTGAAGTGATTGTGGGGGCCATGGGGAGGACTGGAACGTCTTTTATTTTAGTGTAAGCTTGGTAGGACTAATAAGTAGTACTGTAACTTGGCAGACTTTTAAAACTATGTACATATATTACAGTGACAGAAAGTAAGATGAAAGAGTCTTTAAGGACTGTGAAAAAGTGAGTCTTCCTAGGACAAGAGTTGGCGTTTGGTATTCAGTGAATGTGTGTGGAATGGTTGAATGAATATCATTGAATTATTTAGAAAACTCTCTAATTTGCCCTTGTTGGTGGTGATATATTGGAATTAGAATTAAATAATCTACTTTAAGGTATTTGTAATATCACGATATAAGAAACCAGTTTTTTTTTTTTATTTTGGGAACTATAGAACGTTGGAAGATCTTTTGAATAAAGTTTAAAAAAATGTCAACTTAGACTTTGAATTTATTTTATACTTTTCATCAAGGAATTTTGAGGTTAAAAAATACGTGTTGGTATATGTTTATCAAAACGTGGCAGTATTTTCTGTACCAGACAGTCTCTCTGGCTCACGCACTAACTTAGGACAGGAGCTTGGTAACCCTTCCCTTTGCTTTTTTCTTTGAAATGAGGTTAAAACTCAGTCTACCTCAAGGTAGATAGTTGAGTATTACAGAAACCCTGGCACCTAGTTCTTTGGATTAATACTGTAAACATAGTAACTGGGTTTGGAAGTTGTTACCTCTTTTAAGAGGATGATCAGAATGTCAGAAGCTAAGATGAAGTTGTAGTAAGGTGATCATCTTTTCAAAGCACAGTATCTCTTCCAGGAAGTTCAAAGTTCTGCTAATATTAGAATTAACTTGTCAATGATAGGTTCAGTGATTATTCTCTAGGATGGAAAACATTTTACTAATGGAATTGCACTATAGAATTGAGTCCAGTATTTATTTGTAAGTTCCTTTGGATTTGCTGGGAAATAAATGCTAGAGAAATGACCAATAAATAGCATTGTATGGCATTAGTTAAGGAACAAATTTGATTTCTTTTACTTTGTAAGGCACAGGTAAGTTTGACTCACATTGTGATTCCCTCTGTATGTGTTGTAATATCTTGATCTAATATCTTGAACATGCACATTTGGCTTTTTAATTCACTATTTTACACTTGGAGAGCTATTGTTTGATTAAAGCATAATTTTTTTTGCTACCTAGTCATATAAGAAAATACTTTCACATGGAAATGGTACTTAAATAAAAGTTTCAAAAATGAAATATTGCATCTGCTAAGGTTAAACATGTAATTGATTTGGCTGTCTTCTGTGTAACCAAGTGAATTGAAAACCATATTTTAAAACTTTTCTTGTTCCTAGAGTGAATTACTGAAATTTAAGCGACAACAACAGGAGGAAGAAAGAATCAGAACCCAGCAGGATGAGCACAGGAGGTATAAATGGCTAATAACGAAGCATCCTTGGTTAAAAACATTACTATAAATTGCTTGCAATGTTTTAGGCAAGCACTATAGTAATATTGAATGCAGTTTTGAAATGCATATTTTTTACGTGAGGATGACAACTGCTACACATTTGTGTACGTACACATACAATACCCATTTTTTTTCTAGATAGGTGGCATACATTTACACTAGAAAGCTGAATTGTGCTCTCAAGCTATATGTTTATTTAGATTATATTTCATTTGCTTGCCATGGAAGAAAGCATCTTCATCCTTTGAGAGGATGCATGGCTATTTGTAGTATTGATGGTGAAATACCCATCCTTGAATACAAAAGCTCGGACAAAAACTGCCATAAAGTTGTTTTATATTGACTTTATATTAGGAAAAAACTTAAAATAGGACCAGTAAGGACTTTTTAATAGTGTAGGTATTATCTATTCAGTACCCAGTAAAATATCATGTTGGTGTTGGGACAGTGTTAATAATCACCATATCTGTCATTATTGTGTTAGGATTTTCCTGAGGGGCACTTGGGTTATTGGAGTTTATTGCAGTGAGCTTGTGTGTCTTAGGAGAATAACTTAATGCAAAGGCTCTCATGATTTAAAGGAGCAAATTCTTATTTTGAAACTTAGTGGCTTCCTTTACATGTTTAAATTCCCCCTACCACTAAGGTGTATTTTTAATTGTGGCAGTTTCATTTTGTAAATGAGGCTTTAAAAGGTGTTAATAGAAGCTCCCAATACTGTAGCCACTAACTGTGTATGGTGTTCCCATCCTTTTGACTGGATTGTGCTGCCTCCATCATACAGTCAATATAATTTTAAAATGTCAAATGTGAATCCATGTGCTCTCCTCTGCTTTAATAAGACATCAAAACTCTGATACACTGTTAGACTATTTTGTTGGGTAAGGGGACAGCATTACTGCTATCCATTTTTATAAAATAGGCCACAAATTAGTTTAATCTTTTATAGGTTTATCTCATTTTCTCTTTAAACGTCTTTCTATTTAAAAACCTGATATTATGTAACACCAGTTGTTAGTATAACCAGTTTTTTTTGATTTTTTGAGGATTAATTGGGTTTAAGCATCTTAAAGATAGCATTATGTCACATTAATAAATGCTGTTGCTAAGAAATTAATCTTCAATAGGCATCCAATAAAAATGCAAGTTATTTGATTAGAGGTGGAAAGGATTACTTTTTTGTTGTTGTTATAGGAACCTTGATCCTCATTCTTTAGGTTTAGTTCCATACCGCTGACTACTTAAATATTGGGGGGGGGGGGGTATTCATTTCCTACACCTTATTTTCTCCTTCAATTGATTCTAGTTAAGTGTGGATCCAAATTTAATCCATGAAGAAATATCTCTGAATTATAAACTTAATAATCAGTTTTGAAATAACTGATCGAGTCTTTAACCACATTTTTAAAATATTCTGAATCAGTTTTTGAAAATAGTTTATATTAATTTTGTCTTTTAGAGTTTACAGTGTTATCATATGAAAATACTCATTCAGTAATGTCTTAATGAACAAAATAGCTGTGCTCATTCCTGCTGCAGACAGCAACACAAGCTGCATGATCTGTGTGGAGGGGACATGTTAGCTTTTCTCCATGGGCATTCATTCTATTAGTGTGAAAAAGACAATGTACTTTCTACTGTTTTGAAGTTCACAAAGCCAAAACTCAGGCCTGAATTTTATAATAGAAAGCTTGTGGATTCCTCACAGGCTTTCAATGAATCCTGTCATGATTGAGCTTGAGTGCACCTACCTGCATCCGATTCGGTGTAACTTTTTGAGTAAGAGAGGGAAGTTTAAACTCCAAAAAGAAAAGACGGAGACCATGGAGGTCAAGGACTTGAAAGGAACTGGACTGTAAGCTGAAAACTGAAATGAACTGAATTGATTTATTGAAACTTGAACCATCCTTGAATAACATTTTTTATCTAAATTAACCCTGAGGAGAAAATCTAGAGCATGAGTTTGAGAGCAATAAAATGTATGTACTTTCTAATATTAGTAAACAAAAAATATATACTGGTACTTTTTTCCCCTATTTGAATTCTCAATAGAAATTGAGAAAAATAATATCTTTACCACCCATGATCTCTGGTTGACCCCCTCTGCTGTCCTAGTAACTGGTGCTCAATTGCATCACTTTGCATGGGTGACAAGCTTCAGTCTGCACAGTGCTTGAGCGAATTGAGAGCAGTGGACAGTGAGCAGTTTTGCAGCCTGCCTTCACCACCATGGGTGGTTTCACGATGCAGCTGCAGCCTCAGAAGCAGGCATAGGTGAGGCCCATGCACCTGGATAATTTA